CTTCCTTCCTTCCTTCCTTCCTTCCTTCCTTCCTTCCTTCCTTCCTTCCTTCCTTCTTGCCTGCCTGCCTGCCTGCCTGCCTGCCTGCCTGCCTTCCTTTTCCTTTCTTTTTCTTTATTTTTTCAGGTGCTACTGGGATCTGAGGCCAGGGCCTCACACTTGTTAAGTTAGCACTCTACCACTTGACTCTTGCCTCCAGCTTAGCGTTTTACTGGCTATTTTGGGGATCGAGACTAGGAAATGTTTCTGCCTGGACTAGCCTCAAACTGGGATTCTCTAGATCTCAGCCAACTGAATAGTGCATGTTACAGGTTGTGAGGTACTGGTGCCCAGCTCTGTTAGTTCTTTCTAACACCATAACCTCTTCTTGTCACCAAAGATGTAGCTGTCGCCAAAGGATCATTAGTATTTGGAAGCCTACAAAGCAAGAGGTCTCCACAAGACTGAAAGCCAGGTTTCATTATATGGCTGATTTAAATGAGAGCACTTTGCTAACTCATAGTCAGGCTTAGAGCTTATACTATAACAACTCCTGTCACTATTATTTCAACATTTTATGATGAATATTTTTATGCTGATGAAAATGTTGAATTTCACTATGTTGAAAACGAACTTTACAACTTTGGTGGGGGTGGAGGGAGGAGTTGGGGAGGTGGGGAAAGAAGAGATGGTAAGGGAAAAAGGTAACAATGCTCAATAAGAAATGTACTCATTACCTTACTCATGTAACTATAACCCCTCTGCACAACTTTTTTACAATAAAAAATATATACAAAAAAAAGAAAATATTGAATTTACAGTGAATGGTTGTATGTCAACCACTCCAGTTCTGCAGTTAACATTTCAATAATTTTGTTTAGTCACATGTTTACAAATAGCCTTTTACTCCATTAATTGATGTTTTTATACTTTGTACAATGAACTTCAGAGATCAGCAGTGTGGTTATTATTTACCAGAGCTTAATATTTTCCAGTGTTTTTCTTTTGATGTGAAATTTCTAGTGAATGTCCGATCTTCAGTGCTCAGTAACTGAATTAAACAAACCACATGACTAAAATATCTATCAAGCTAGAAAACACTTTACACTACATATTTTTTCTGATCACATTCTACACTCTTGAATTTCTATTGCGTCTGAATTAAGGTTAAGAAAAAGGCTTGACAAATAGAAATCCATGTGAAATGACAGATCAACAGATTTCTCTCTTGTCTAAATTACTTTGTTTCTCAAATTGCTTATGAGCATTTCAAAAAAAGAAGACAAGTTACAAATTTATCTTTTCAGTTTTTAAATAATTATTTTGGAGAATTGCTAATACTGCATATCAATTTAGAAAAGTATTTTGTAAGGCAAGAGCTCTAGTTTAATGAGGTGGGATAAAATGAATATAGACAAAAGTAGAAGAGAGAAAAGAAGTGGAAATGAGCTGTGAAAATCATTAAATATTATTATAATACAAGGAATGTACTTCATTGCTTAAAATATATATTATGTATATATTATTTCAGTAGACATTTTAGTCTACCCTGATGCCTGTGTTACACCTTTTATTTTTTTAAAGCATAATCTGCCTTTAGGAAATACAAATTTGTTTTGAGTGTTAATAATTTCATATTTAATGCTTTTATGCACATAATATATCACATATTTGCCTCATTTTATAGCCATTGAGCACATTCTAACTTATACTAACATAATTTATAAATAGATATAAGTTTGAAATCATTTGTTCACATTTTATGAGAAGCAACCTGTATGTATCTTTCTAATAAAATATTTCTAGTCCCTAAAGAAGAAGCTGTGACAAAGTAAATTCCTATTTTCATAATAAAAAGATAGAGCAAACACACAGTCATTTGCATATAGTTCCTAAAATATTGCATACTGGCTTTGTCAGTGCTGGTAAGTCCATTTCAAGGATGTTGCCCTTAGTCCATTAGTTTGGATAATGAGCCCTATAAAGTACATTTATAACTTGTGGCACTGCAAGGAGATGGATTCTAATTTTCATCCTTTTATCTAGACACATTGAAAGAAGGTCAATGGAGGGTTCTATATGATTCATTGTCCCAACACATATCAGATGACAGAGACCTGATAATGTCCATGCATAAGTGTTTTCCTTATTTGGAAACATCACTTGAAAGAAATCTTTCTGTGATCATCCTTTGAAGTAAAGTGGAAACAGATATTAAAAGAAGCTCAATCCCTTTTTTTTCTGTTTAAAACATTATCAAACGCACGAGCAGATAGCTATTCTTGAACAAAACAGAAAGCAACACTTAACAGAGAAATAAAAATCCTTTAGTGGTTTTTACAGGCTGTGAATGGTATAACAAGATATCTAGTCAACTTTTTTCTCTCTGTTTTCTTAAAACTGTGGTGGGGGAAATAAAACTATTGTTTAAACAAAAGAAAAGCTTACATTTTCCTAAATTTGAGTAAAGCTTATAATTACATTATATAATATTTGTCCCAAATTTACAGTTATGTGTCAAAGGCAATCAGTTAATATTTAAGTTAATATTTAAGTTTTTTATCATTTAAATGGTGTCAGAGTAGCAACAAGAATATGCCATAACTCAATGTCAGTTTTGTGTTAAAAAATGTGGCATCATAGTAGGCAATTTTTTAGTCTTCATATAGGGTTTTAATTCAAAATCAGTAGCAGAATATGCTCATTTACTCAATCATATGAACTTTTTTGTATGCTTCTTTTAGATGTAAAGCAATCATAGACCAGTTTGGACAGAGAATAATCTCTAAGCATTTCATTGTGGAAGACAGTTATTTTTCTGAGAACACATGCTGCCGGGTGCAATATAGGTAAGATATTTTCTTCTCACTAGCCAAGGGAAGGAAAAAGTCAGGCCCATGTGATTATATTACCATTTCTGCTATGATTCTGTTCTTCAAGTTACATGCAAAGGTACATTCAGTATCTTGCTAATCTTCTCTTATAGGGTCTGATTTGGGGGCAGCCAAGCATAATTCCAACTCCTTTGCTTCAGCTGGAATTTGTCTCCATCCTTCTTTTATGAGGTTAAAGCAGAACTTAACATGGTTTGGGGAGGTGACACTTTTATCCTAACTTAAGTCTTTGAAACATACCTTTTGATGGTTATATAATTATACATGAAGCTTCACTCTTGTTTCTCACAGGCAGATCTCCAGGGCTGTTTTGATCACAGATAGATCTGTCCTAAAAACAGATTCAGATCAACAGGTAAATTCAGTCTTCTGCATTCTAAAAATAAATGTGTGTGTTATAAAAGGAATAATGTTTTGATACACATGGCTGATTCCTACCCTCAAGATAATTAGCATTTGTTTCCTTACATGGTTAGCATTTTTGTGGGAAGAACCCACATGTTTAACTTGAAGAATGAAACTGTTAAATCCTATGAAATTAGTTATATCATTATGGGATGGAAACAAAAGAATCCTTAGAGATATGTGTTTTTTTTCCCTTTTTTTCTTTTTTCTTTATCAGTCATGGGGCATGATCTCAGGGCCTGTGTGCTGTCCCTGTGCTCTTTCATTCAAGGCTAGTGATCTACCACTTTGAGCCACAGTACCACTTCTGGTTTTCTGGTGGTTAATTGGAGATAAGAGTCTCACAGAGAACATTCCTGCCCAGGCTGGCCTTGAACCATGATCCTCAGATCTCAGCCTCCTGAGTAGCAAGGATTACAAGCATGAGCCATCAGCATACGACAAGATTACATATTTAAAAGCTTAGAGAAAAAGGCTTTACAGTAGGCAACACTATAGCAATTACAGAAAGCCTTCCTTTAGGCATACTATGAATTCATTTATACTCAGTTATACTATTTCCTCACTACCATTGCTCATTTTAGTGTCTACTTCCTTCTTTACCCCAAATTCATAGAACCATGTCTCTACTTCTTTTTTTATTTTTTTTTTTGGGTCCCGTCATGGAGCCTGAACTCTGGGCCTGGGCGCTGTCCCTCAGCTCTTCAGCTCAAGGCTAGCACTCTAACACTTGAGCCACAGCGCCACTCCAGCTGTTTTCTTTTTGTTTATGTGGTGCTGAGGAATCGAACCCAGGGCCTCATGCATGCAAGGCAAGCACTCTACCACTGAGCCACCTTCCCAACCCAACCATGTCTTTATTTCTTATGTTTTCTCAGTGTGATCACTAAAATTCCAGGGCCTTTATCTAAGACTTCTCCTTCTGACCATATTTTACAGTTATTAAAGCCAGCTTAGTCAGTATAAGTGGCTGCCAGATATATATGCTTCTACTCAAAATAGACTCCTAAAATTCCTTAGGTTGGAGGACACCTATTACCTAAAACGAAAATGTGAATGAATAAAGTTATTTATTGGTTCAATTTTTATTGTTGATTAATGGAAAATATATAAAAAGAGACATCAGTTATGACTTACACATGTAAGAATGGATACCACTTTATTGAATCAGTCAGCAATCAAGTGTCTTTTTTTTTTTTTATTTGTGAACATACTGTACAGAGGGGTTACAATTACATGGGCAGGATAATGTGTACATTTCTTACCAAGCATTGCAGCCTCCTCCTTTGGTTTACCCTTCACATCCCTTCCCAGCCTCCCCCCTCCCCCCTAATTACAACCCTTCTCCTCCCCCCACTTCCCCCCCCCCCGACCGACGTTGTAAAGCTCGTTTTCGACATGACAACTTATACTTTTCGTTGTTGCATCAGGTCCACCTGTATCCTTAAACAACTGTTTTTCCCCCTCTCCTCCACAAGTTATACTGACATCAAATATAGTGAAAGCAGGGGTTATACTGTGGGGGAGGGACATACAAAGCAACAAAGAGATAGTCTTATAAATGCGTTAGAAACACATGCATGAAAGAAAAAACATTAAAATACATGTCTAAGGGTTCATTTTCCTGACATCACATTATCTGACCTTTTCCGCTTGACTCATACATATACTAGATATTGCAAATAAGGGAGATGATGGGACCTATGTTTCTTTGGGCCTGGCTTACTTCACTTAATATAATTTTTTCCAAGTTTTTCCATTTCCTAACAAATGGGGCAATGTCATTCTTTCTGATGGAGGCATAGAATTCCATTGTGTATATATACCACATTTTCTTGATCCATTCATCTACTGAGGGGCATCTGGGTTGGTTCCATATCTTAGCTATGGTAAATAATGCTGCAATAAACATAGTTGTGCTGGTAGCTTTAGTGTGGTCTTGTTTGTAAACATTTGGGTAAATGCCCAAAAGTGGGATTGCTGGGTCATAGGGGAGCTCTATGTGAAGTCTTTTGAGGAACCTCCATATTGCTTTCCAAAGTGGTTGAACAAGTTTACATTCCCACCAACAATGAAGTAAGGTTCCTTTCTCTCCACATCCCCTCCAGCATCTGTTGTTGTTAGAGTTCTTGATTTTTGCCGTTCTAACAGGAGTGAGGTGATATCTCAATGTTGTTTTGATTTGCATTTCTTTTATGGCTAGGGATGTTGAACATTTCTTCATGTGTCTATTGGCCATCCTTCTTTCTTCTTCAGAGAAGTTTCTCTTTAAGTCTTTCGCCCACTTATTTATTGGGCAGTTGTTTCTTCGAGGATTTGTTGTTGGGAGGTTTAATTTTTTGAGTTCCAAATATATTTTAGATATGAGACCCTTGTCTGTTGTATGGCTAGTAAAGATCTTCTCCCAATCTGTGGGCTTTCTATTGATCTTGGTAGCTATGTCATTTGCCCTGCAGAAGCTCTGCAACTTTATGCAGTCCCATTTGTCCAACCTTTCTTTGATTTGTTGTGTTTCCGGGTCTCTATTCAAAAAATTTCGGCCTGAGCCAAGGATACCTAGGGTTTCTCCTATTCCATCCTTGCTTTGACTTCAAGGTCTTTGATCCATTTGGAGTTGATTCTGGTGCAGGGTGATATATAAGGATCTAGCTTTAGTTTTCTACATGTAGTTAACCAATTTAATCAAGTGTCTTTTACTCCCTGTGTCACTGTGATGGTGTCTCTACCATGAAATAGTTTGTAATCTAGACTACACAGTTACAGACAGATAGGTATCAAGTATAGTTTAGTGTGGCAAATGTAACTAGAGGCAGCTTAAGAAAATGATAGAGCAGTTGTGTCACTTTCATTGCTGATTGACTTATCTAAACTTATCAAAACCATAGACAGACACTGTGAGTGGGCAAAGGTTAAGATTACCAAAAAGTGACAGAGGCAAAAAAGTAAAGAGAGCAAATACAAAAAATTCTGAGCTGGTTGTCAGTGGCTCACTCCTAAAATCCTACCTAATCAGGGTGCCGAAATCTAAGGATTGTGGCTCAAAGCCAGGGTAGGGAGGAACGTCCATGAGACTCTTAACTCCAGTTAGCCACCCAAAAAAAGCTGAAAGTGGAGCTGCGACTCAAGTGGTAGAGACTTAAATGCAGAAGTTCAGGGGCAACTCCCAGACCTTGAGTTCAAGCCCCAGGACTGGTACCAAAATTAAAGAAGGAAGGAAGGAAGGAAGGAAGGAAGGAAGGAAGGAAGGAAGGAAGGAAGGAAGGAAGGAAGGAGGAAGGAAAGAAAAGAAAGATGAAAGAAAAACTCTGAAGAAGCTAATCTCTAGAGTAAGAGAAAGGAATTGGTTCTTGAAAAAAGTGAAGAGTACTTTACAAGATTAGTTTATAATTCAGCAGAAGGAATGGAGCCAGTAGAGAAGATGAAGGTACTGATGAGAAGAGGAAGATTATTGATGGAAAAGTAATGGACACATGATAGGCAGTCAGGGAGGATGAAATTCACAGGACAGGCACAAGCATTCCTCTCATATAGAGGGTGATGCATGTTGAAATGACAGGGTAAGTATACGAGTATTTGTGGATTTGGAGTTCCCATCTGCTGGGTTCTATTCTTTAAATTTAAAAGTAAAGTCACCTCTGGAGAATAGAAGTATATATACTGGTCAAATGTGATGGATTTGTAAAACTATTCATCTGCTTGGATCTTTCCAGCTCTTTTCATTCTTTTACTACTGCCTAGCATATTAATCAACCTAAGAGTACTCAAGCCCTTACAAGTTTGCTCTGTTTATCATCTTCCTTCTGTTCTATCTTCTGCCCTCGACCTCATTATGAATCTTCTGACCCCATTATGAATCTTCTAATCGGCTTTTGCTCCAGCATCTTCAATCCCCATATTGTCCTGGTCTTCCACCACACCCAGAGAGGAAAATCGTTCTGCTTTAGGCTATAATCTGCACCTCTGTCATGAATGGCTGCTATGTCATTAATGGCTGATCTAGAAAACTACACAAACAGACTGGCCCTGCCTCAAAGTCCGGAGACCAACCCAGTTTAGCTGAATCACTGACCTCTGATAATGCCCAGGGATGAATGCTAGCCTTCACTATTTTACCTACCCTTCTCACTTCAGCCCTTTCTATCTCATGATTTACTGAGTAAAGTGAAGCCATTCACCATGCACAGGGGCAATCTAGACTTTCAGCCCCTTCACCACAGGTATACCACATGTATACCAGCCTCAGTAATGGATGAGATGGTTCTTCCCTGTTCATACCTGTCCACAAGTGTCTCTCTCCCTCCTTCCCTTCTTTCTGCCACTGTTCTCTTCCTTTCCTTTCCCTCTTGTCTCTATTCCTGTCTTCTTCAGTCCTCACCTTTTCCATTCCTCTTCCTTTCCTTCTACTCTCCTTCATCATAGTGAGTCAGCAGATACATTTTTTTCTCTTGTCTACTAGAACTTTGACTATGTGATTATTCCCTTTCTCTAAGAACTGTGTGTTTCCCCAGATGCTCTAACACTGTTCTTCTGAGTGCCTTATGACTTGGATAGTCCTCTGTGATTTAGTTGTGGGCTTTGTTTGCTTTGTCTTGCCTGAAAATATTGGGGCTTCTTAGAACTCACTGTTTTGTCCTGCTCTGTGTACGCTCACTAGATGATTGCATGTATTCTTGTGATTTCAACTCTTCATAAATGTTGGGAACCATTAGTTACACTTCTCCCAGAAGTGTCTGCACCATATGGCAGACTTCTTGCTGGACATCCATCAAAGGGTATGGATATAAAGCTGAATTCAGCATCTCTCCCAAACTGTTCCCCATACAGTGCTGTTTATTCCCAGGAAAACACACACACACACACACACACACACACACCAGTCCTGCGATTTGAATCCAGGAACACACACACACACACACACACCAGTCCTGGGATTTGAATCCAGGAACACAC